AAAAAATTAAAAAATTTTTGGTGGTGGGGGTAAACAAAAAATTAAGCAATAAAAAAATTATTTTTAATTATAATTATAAATACTTTTAAAGCCATTTAACTTTTATTCGGAACATTTTTTCTATCTCTAGTTTCGACGATATTCGCATTGAAATAAAAAAAACAATTTTTTTCTAAGGAGTGTTTCACCCCTTAAAAGCGCGAAGCGGCCCGAATTTGCGGTAGCTTAATTTTTCGTTTTGTCTAGAAAGTAACATATCAACAGCTCATCGAAATCGGAGGAGGGCACTTGGGTCCCTTTCCTTGTGAGTGCATTATGGGTGCTAGATTCTGTCTCAACCACCTCCATCTTTATACTCTTAATGTTGAAGATATTTTCAAAATGCTCTTTCTAAAGATTTGTGATTTCGTCCTTTTCCGCTAGCATTTTACCTCGTTTGTCCTTTATGTTAGATAACCTAGGCTGGAATCATCCCCTCTCCTGTTTAATTAGTTGATACATCCCACGTGTATTATGCATTCCACGCATTACATTGATGTTTTCCAGATTCTTATTCATCGTTTCCCTCCTTTTGAGTCTATAGATTTTTCTTGCTGTTTTTCTCCTTTTCTTCTATATTTCTCATATCCTTCTGGTATTTTTTTGTAGCATCAAACTTCTTGCTTCGTTTTTAATCCTTATTGCTTCTTTGCATTCCTGATCAAACCAATTTTCATTGCGACAACGCCGTTTTTCTCCGATAGTTACTTTCGCAGCTTCGACAACCGCACTCTTCATCACCCTCTATTCTTCCCACTTATCTTTGCTGTTATGGGGTTTCTGCAGATGCTCTTCTACTTTAATCTTATAAGCAGTTTTCACTTCTTCCTCTTTTAGTTTCTCAGCATTTCATCTTGGCATTTTTCCCCCTTTTTCTTTAGAATAGTTAGATATTTTTTGTTTTATCTTACTCTTTACAAGGCAGTGATCACTGTGGCAATTTGCATGCCTGCAAACTCTGACATCCTGTATACTTGATCTCCTTTTTTGGTTCACCAGCACATTATCTATTTGATTTGTTGTGCATCCTCCTGGTGATCTCCAGGTATCTTCGTGGATATCTTTGTGAGAGAAGTATGTGCTCATTATGCTTAAGTTCAAACTCTCTGCCAACTGCCATAGCTTGAGACCATTCGGGAAAGTATTCTCGTGTAGGTAGTGCATGCCTGCGACCTTTTTAATAAAATCCTCTTTCCCGACTTTAGTATTAAAGTTTCCCCATTATTATCAGTGTGTCATAACTGCCTTCACATATCCTCTCCAGATTATCGTAGAATATTTTTATATCTTCCTCTTTACCTTCCTCCGTGGGAGCATATACACTAATCAGCGTTATGTTACTGAATTCTCCTTTCACACGTAGTTTACAAATTCTGTCACTGATTGGCTCGAATCCAAGAATCTTACTTCTTATTTTTTTGTTAATCCAGAAGCCTGTTCCTTTTTGGCCAGTTTTGTTAGGAGTACCACAGTAATAAAGCGAGAACTCCTTTCTATCTATCCTTCCAGCATCCTTGCGTCTTATTTCCTGTAGGGCCACTATATCAAGATTAAATTTGCTTAGTTCTTCCGCAATTTCTTTCAATCTTCCAGCCTGCAGGAGTTACATTCCATGTTCCAATATTCAAGACATTTTCCTTTTTTCTGTTCTGGGTTCGTTTTACCAAGAGACCGTCCGACATCCAAGGCTGTGGTAATGCGTTTATGACAAGTTTGTTTCATTAGGTGGGTTGTCAGCCCTACACTAACTAAACTCTGTATTTAACCCCCAGGGTCCAGGTGACCCAACTATCCCCCTGAGCATTAGGGTCAGTCAGAGCCTCTTCTGTAAAAGCAGGGGCCACCATTAGAAGACGAAGTTAACATTTGGAAGCTATATCTTACGCATTCCGAGTCCTTGGCCCCCTATTTAAATTTAGCGGAGAAAAAAAAATATTAATGAAAAATCACATTTTTTGTGATATTTCGAAATTGTGTGTCTTTTGAAATGAAACTTAGCACAAAATTTTCTTTTATCTGGGTGGACATTTTGCTCACTATAACGATCAATTACGCGTGAGGCCGGAAATCCCATCCTTAATCCGCTAGACCCTTTTACGTAAGAAATGATCTTGCTTGAATTTTTTCAAGGCCATTAAAATAAAAAATTAAATCGCTGAAAATTGTTCAAAAAATGTGTCCGCTTGGACGCTAATGGGTTAAATACTCGTTGAGCATTGTGCAATTTTTTGTTACCAAATTATTCAACTGAAACATAAAGACCATTTTTGTTTCAACGTTGAATAACGTGGTGAAAAAAAATCACACAACGATCAATGAATACACAAAAAAAATTAAAAAATACGCAATTAAAAATAAAGATTCATGCTTTCGTAAGCTGTAAACTGTATTTATGTGCGATTTTTAATTTGGATTATGGACTTTGCAAGGCTTGAAGAAGATTTGGATATTTGACAGATTTTGGACATTTGGATCTTTTGTATGAGCTTTGCAAAGTTTCATGGTAAATTAAAAATCGCGTACAATGCAGTTTACAGTGTTTGAAATTGTGAATCTTTACTTTTAATTTGCGCACCCGTTGAGCATTACGATTTTTTTTCACCGAGTTGCTCAATATTGAAGTAAAAAAGAATATTTTTGCTTTAGTGTTAAATAATTTGGTAAAAAGAAATGGCACAACACTTATCGAATCCACAAATCAAAAATAAAGATTTACGCTTTCGAACGCTGTAAATCGTATTTGTATGCAATTTTTAATTCACGCCATGGAACTTCGCAGTTATTAAAAAATTTTTAGATTTGATGCATCTTTATTTACATCCGTACAGCTTTGTAAAGAATCAGTAAATTGTTTAATGAATTATCAATTTTGAAAGTAGAAATTTTAAAGTAAAAATGCTTTTTAGAACATTTTATTACGATCATTTTTTACTAAATTACACTGTCTTGAATTTGTCTATTTTTAGGGATCAGAATAGGTGATGCTTTAATTTTGCTATCAAGTGTATTTACAAAATAATTTTGTGTAAATTATATACAATATATAAAATCACGTTATATTTATGATAAAATTTCAGTACTGATAGCTTATCTGTGGAAGAAGTTTATATGTATATACATTTGCATATATTATACATTGTAATATTTTTCTTCTTTTTGTAAATATATTTTTAACAAAACACTGTTTTTCGTTAAATAAAATTAATTTTTAAAATATATTTTCGCAGATGCATAATTACCACTTTTGTTCTTTGATCAATTTCGCCGTCGTCATTTTTATAAATAATAAAATCCTAAGTAATATACATGTATTTCTAGACTTTGAATATAAAATCGAATAAAATAAATAACATTTTGAAAAATGTAACTGTTAAGTTTTTAAAGTATTGATTATTTATTATTAAAGTCATTTTATAAAATGTAAAATCTCTAACTATTTATTATTTAATTATTATAGTTGTAATTATAATTTCTATTTGCAGATGTCTAGAAATTGGGTGTGTTCGGATCTACCATTAGATACACCTCTATTTACCGCAGATGGGGATATCAAACGTGTATCAGCTGGTACGATTATTAATCTTTTTTATTATTAAACTCAATAAGATGCTTAAAAGCAGGGTTGTGCCGTAGATTTCAAGATTACGTCTACACGGATTATTTACGCGAAATCTACCTGATGTTTACATGGTCTTTTTGCTACGTAGACTTGTAAACTATGTAGACTATTGTAAATTGTATCACTAAAGATCGGAAGAGCACACG